GATTGTGGCTGTAATTGGGTTGTTTTGTATCTGCTGGAAACACAGAGGCGCAGGTCAAGTCAATCTACAGCTCACACATCTGTAAAAAATAATTGTGAATCACCAATGTTCTCCATGTTTTGACTGAATGTCTGTCATTACAGTTCATGAAGATGAGACTCCAGCTGCTGCATTACTCTACAAACACACTGGACTAATGACGGTAAGAGTCTCTGTGTCGTTTCAATGACATTTACATTTATTGAATTAGCTACAAAATAACTGCATATATAGCAATATTCCCGTTTAAAATTCTAATATGATTGCATACTGCTTACTGCTTCAAAAACACATTACACATATTTGGCAGTGTGGTATATTATGTGTTGAACATGTGTTTTATGGTTTCCATAATCTAATCTATAATGTAGGTTTTATTTATTTTTTGTTGCTGTTATTAAAGTTGCTTGTGTGCAAAAATTTCACAAGTTCTAATAATATAAAAGACCCAGATCATAATTCACAATCATTCAATGCAACAAACACTGACTCGTATCCCATAATACTCAATTTATGCATTTTTCCTAACAAGGTTCAGGACTAATGAATTATGAATCTTTCTGAAGAATTGGTAGCAAATTTCTGTCATTTGTTAATTTTTATTTATCAGGTTTGTTTTTCTCCTTTTGGCCTTTAGTGTTTGCGTTTGTTTTACAGGAATCAGACGTGACCGAGGTGCTTTACATGTGTTTCACCAGAGAACACTGATCAAACTCTCCCTGATTCTGTTTCCTCACAAATCATATACTGATCACTGCTGATATAACTGCATCTGGCTTTTACACTCTTACGGTTTCAATTTTTTTGATTTGTCATTTGTATTTCTTCGACGTAATTTCTTAGTTTATTGTAATCCTGAATGATTAATACTTGTAGATTAACTAATATAATAAAAATAATGAATATAAAATAAATGAAAATGTTTATCATCTTTTAAATAACCTGAGAATTCGTTTTCCCATTTCCTGGATTCTTGGAAGCAGAAGTCGTCATAGTTTGATAAACTTCCACAGCGGTGAACGGGAGATACAGAAAGTATCATTTTTGCATTTGTATTTGGTTGAACAGCAAACGAAACCCAATCCACAATGTAATCTAAAGGATTTTCCAGAAGAGAAAATAAAAATATATAGAGAGACTGATTACGACAGTCAGAAGAGAGAAGGACGTCGAAGTCACTGTCACTTCCTCAGCAACACAATCGCTGCAGGTTTTACTACTTTATTTATTTGATGTAACGCCAAGGTAAATGAATAGTGTAATGTGATTTTAAAAATGAAAATATACAAAAAACTTAGTAATGTAGGATTTTAATCTCTCAGGTAATCATTTTTTTTCTAAATTAACATTTGCATTCACAAGTTACTGTATGTTTTCATTAACTTTTACTGATGAATTGTGTTGTAACAAAACAGGCAAACATTATAAATGTGATTCACTGGTTTTTGAGTCAAAATTACCCTGCAATGGTTTTCCTCTTTGTTTGATCTGCACCGAAATGTGGTTTGATTCTTTTGGATGGATAAACTGCTTTTGCTGTATGTTTGTGTGTGTTAATAGTTTGCGGGTGAAGCATTTATTTTTTTTGCTTAATACAATAAACTAGTGCACGCTTTCACTCTGCAGTTTAAGTAAATTGAAAACTCGGTTGATAGAAGGATGCAGTTATTGCGTGGAGATGGAGCAAGAACAATATAAGTGTCTAAAATGCATGCACACAATCGTAAAAGTGTAGTTTGCACAGATGCATGTAAAAGTATAGTTTGTCACAATAGCAATGGTGGACTTCAGGCACATTTTCGGTAGAGCGAAAAAAGAGCATTCGAAATTAGAAATCGATAAGAATCGGAATCGATAGGCAGAATCGGAATCAGAATCATTAAAATTCAAACGATGCCCAACCTGACCCATACCCCACATTATTTTGTGCATCATTATTTTTTTTTTTACTGGCAGCTATCTATTCACACGGTTTTAATCCCTCATTTCATTGATCAAACCTCTCACTTACCCTTTCTTTGACCTTCTTAAAAAATTCACCTAATTTTACGTGGACTTTTCAAAATTAGTTATAAAACAATTGCTTCTGGCTACAGGGATAGCTAGTATGTTTGCTTAGCACAGCACCAAACATGACAATTTATGAAATGAATATTTGCTCCAAAATCACTATATAACAGCAGATGCGTTTGAAATAACTTGCATCTGTGGTTCCATGTTGCTTCTTATCTCAGAATGAGATGGAAATATATAACCTCTCACTTACCCTTTCTTTGACCTTCTTAAAAAATTCACCTAATTTTACGTGGACTTTTCAAAATTAGTTATAAAACAATTGCTTCTGGCTACAGGGATAGCTAGTATGTTTGCTTAGCACAGCACCAAACATGACAATTTATGAAATGAATATTTGCTCCAAAATCACTATATAACAGCAGATGCGTTTGAAATAACTTGCATCTGTGGTTCCATGTTGCTTCTTATCTCAGAATGAGATCGAAAATATATATTTTTTTTAAAGCTTTTTAACTAAAATTCTATACTGTGATTCAGGCTATGTCGATTAGCGTTGAATTATAAATATACATAATTCTTATGAAAATACCCGAAATGGCTTAAAGAACACAGATAAACACAGATATATCGCAACAATTGTGTGT